AAGTCAGTGTTGAGGTGCAGATGGTCATGTGCACGCACCGTCAAGAGCCATTTTTAGCAAAGAAACTCACCAGCACACGTCCGATGCACAGAAGATGGCAGAAAGCATCCGTTTTATCAGAATGGCTTTATTGGAATGCCTTGAATAGGTTACCATGTGAAAAAATTTGGCTTGAAAAAGGGACTTCGAAGTTATTTTATGGAAAAAAGCAAAATAAAATTCAGGCTTGGGTTTTTTTTGGAAGTAACCATTACCCGGTCATTGTCCTCAATGAGCTTTACAACATAGTATGCTTATCTGTCCAGAAAACTTCCGTTTTCGCCTCATGAAAAGACCTAAAAGAAATTTTTCGCGTTCGAAGAATTTTTGTCCGCGACATTGTGACGTGGCCATTCTCGGGCTTTTAGAAAAAGATTTTTGAAATTTTCATAATACATGTTTTCAGGAAAGTGCAATGTGTGAGTTGTAGCATACTACATTATAGAGCTATCGAGGACAATAATCAGGTAGTGGTTATTTTTAAAAAAACTCAAACTTGAATTTTATTTTGCTTTTTTTCGAAAAATTAATTCTAATTCCCTTTTTCAAGCCAAATTTCTTCACATGTAAACCTATTCAAGACATCCTAACAAAGCTGTTCGACTAAAATGGATGCTTTTTGCCATCCTGTAGGCATCGGGCGTGTGTTGGTGAGTTTCTTTGCTGAAAATGGCTCTTGACAGTGCGTGCACATAACTCCACCTGCACCTCACCACTGAGTTGCACAGCTTTGCAGGCTTGTAGCTCGGTCCGCAGTCATTCTACGAGCCTACTGGTAGGCTCATTCGAAAGAGCGTGACTTCCTCGATACGAGGGTATGCAAATGAGTTGCGTTTGGAGAATCCCGGAGATTTTACGGATGGGCTGAAAAAGCGCAGTCTCAAAGGGAGTTGGAGTGAAAGCTCTTATCAACATCAGAGCAGTCTAGAGCTTCGAAATGGATCTATTACAAGAAGAATGACCTCTTTAACTTCCAGGATGGAACTGGTAGCGAAAGAAGTTTTGTCAACTTTAGGTGAAAAATCCTTTTCCTACCACTGAAGCTACCTAAGCTCCATAAAATCTCCAGTAATTTTCAAACGCAATTGATTTGCATACCATCGTATCGAGAAAGTCAAGCTCTTTCGAATGAGCTTACGTGCACGCTCGTAGAATGACCGCCGGCCGAGCTACAAGCCTGTAAACTGGTACAAGTCATTGGTGAGGTGCAGGCGAGATCCTGTACACGCACTTCCAGGAGCCTTTTCCAGCAAGGAAACTCACTAGCACACGTCAGACGCATAGTATCCTAGCTTGGGATTTTTCAGGAAGTAGCCATAACCAGGTTATAGCCCTTGGTGAGCTCTATATGATAGTATGTTTATTTGTTCGGATTAATTGTGTTTTCTCTCAAAAAAATACCCAAAAGGAACTTTTCGCGTTTAAAGAATTGTTGTCCGCGACTTCATGACGCGGCTATTTTTGGACTTTTTTGATAAAACATTTTTAACTTTTTTAGAATCCATGTTTTCCAGAAAGCGTAATATGTGGGTTGTAGTTCTTGAAGAGCTCTATCATCTCCCGCAATTTGATCATTTCATCCTTGTTTTCCATCTGAAAATGAGCGAGAAGAAAGGAGGGCGGCTTGCCGCAACTTTTTGGCTGTCACTGTTTTATATATGTAACTATCGTAATTAGAAACTGCCTTCATCTCCTATCTCTAAAGTTACGTTCATGTTCATGTGAACTATCTTGAGTCTGGCAACGGCTAATTCTAGTCACTTTAACAGCTTATGGTGTCCACCAAGTCGTGGAAAGAGCACTGACAAAAGTGAACACCACATTGATGAGAGTGTAGAATGATCCAAGATAAGGACTACGATAATGTTGGCACGCCGTCCGCCCGCTAAAAAGATGGCCCGGCGCTGGTGGGTGCAAGGTCCGCCGCTTGCAAGCTCGGCATCGAAGGCACGCCGCTCGTCTGCAACAAGACCACGCGCACAATCTAAGGCTCTCCGCCCGCCCGGCAAGGCATGAAGGCCCCCCGCTCGTCAAAGTCACAGGCGGCCCTATAGGGGCCTGCAGGATCGCGAGAGTCGGACGTGCGTACGGCCATTGCGCCGCGCACGTCAGATGTGCGACCGACGACTCGGGTAAGTGCCAGACTTATCCTCTTGAACAGGTTCACTCGGTTCACCACTTTTGCTGTTGGACAGCGTAGTGATTTGACCTACGAACCGAACGAACCGGCTGAAGTGGATAAGTCTGGCACCTGCCTTAGTGACATCGGACGTCCGCGGCGCAGTGGCCGTACGCACGTCCGACTCTCGCGATCCTGCAGGCCCCTATACCACGGTCGGCAATCGCTCAGTGGAAGGCCGGCCTGGTAAATATTCTCTTGTTAGGAAAAACTTTTCTTACCGGTCAGCAAGAAGAAAAGAAAGGAAAGTGTTAGGATTCTACCTACGGCGCCGAATGGTGACAAGACCGATGTTTGCGTAACGTTGGACAAAAGCGACTTGTCTGGGACGACATGCCAGGGAGGCTTCCCCTGTTCTGCCAATGCCGAGACAGTCTCCACAAACGCTGACCTATCGTATAATGATGATAACCGAAATCTTGTCAGAGAGGCCTTACAACGCTCTATCGATGTTATGATCAGGGTAAAGCGGGGGGGGGGGGTGCGGCACGCAACCGTCGGATACGACCCCCCCCCCCCCCCTTGGGCCGGAGCTCGGCACGACCCTCCCCCCCATTCCCTCCCCCCCCCCCCTCCCTCCACCCCATAAGCAACGCCCAGGTTTTTACGTTGAAGTAACAGGCACTTATACTGGAAATTGTAAGTTTTCCTTGTCCAGGCTAAATGAGAGTAGCTCGGCCAAGTATGTTATCTGCAAGTTCTCAGATTTCATGAAGATCAAGAACAAGCTTGCTTTCGAACTTATTCAGCCACAAGATTCGCCTTAGACTGTGAAGGACGTTGAGCTTCTGCCGCATTATGTCAATTAATCAAGCTTCTAATGTTTTACTATACGAGTAGAAACTGTTCTCTTTGACCGATTCGCATATTAAACAAATTTATTGTTATTCGATGTGTTTTCCTTCATACAAAAAAGAAAAAACTTCTAGAGGTCCATTTGAGATCAACATACTTTATAAACTACTGATCACTTGGCCCAGGTCCTCATCTCTCACCCCTGATCTATTACCGCTCCAATTTATCAAGTCTATAGCGCACATAATCGCTGGTCCGCTACAATTTCTTTTCAACTTGAGCATGGCTAGGTCGGAGGTTCCAAAAAGATGGCGATCTTCATATGTGACACCCATTCCTAAGAAGAAGCCATACACCCATCCCAATAACTTTCGCCCAGTTAGCATCACTTCTATCTTCGCCAGATTGTTTGAAAAAATACTAAAGAAACAAATTGTTAAACATTTGGAGAATCACGGAATCCTTTCCTCCACCCAGCACGGGTTTCGGCGTGGTAAGTCTACTACCACTGCGATGCTGCAATCACTCAATGAGTGGACCCTCAATTTCGATAAAGGTCTTAATACCGATGTAATCTACTTGGACTTCACCAAAGCTTTTGATAAGGTACCCCACCCTAGATTAATCCAAAAGTGGATTAGTGTTGGGTTGCATCCCCGTATTGTTGCTTGGATCAAAGCTTTTCTTGATGACAGGTCCTTTATGGTTCGTATCAATGACACATTCTCTCGACCTAGAAGTATGTGTAGTGGGGTACCTCAGGGGAGTGTCCTATCTCCCATTCTTTTTAATATCTACACGCATGAGCTTCCGCAAATTCCTGTCAATTTTGGCGTTAGCTGCTGTGCTTTTGCAGACGATTTCAAATTGTACACGACAGTAATGGAAAATAGTGATAGCAGGCGTTTGCAGCAAGCGCTAGATGAAGTTTATAAATGGTCACAAGATTGGGGTCTGCCAATCTCCAGGGAGAAAACAAAACTGATTCACATTGGACCTTCACATTGAACCCAAATACAGTCTATTTTTTGGATAATTTAGCACTGCAGGTAGTGGATCGGATCAAGGACCTGGGATTTCTGGTGACTGATAATCTTACATTTGATGAGCATTGCAGGCTTACTGCCGATAAAGCAATGCGGGCGGTCTACAACCTGTTCAGAGCCCTCTCAACAAAAGACGTAAAGGTTCTTTTAAGCGCATACAAGACCTATATCAGACCTATGTTGGAATATGGGACTGTGATATATAATCCGGACCTAATCAAAACCAAAAATTACCTGGAAAGAGTTCAAAATAGTTTTACGCGCAAACTGTTTATCCGTATTATGGGTTTCGAATATGATCTCATACCTGATAGTAAAACTCGTAATAGGAAATTAGGTCTATCATCTCTTGCCCATAGGAGGCATGAAAGTGACCTTCTAATGGCTCATAAAATCTTGTTTGGTAATTGTGGCCTGGAGTTTAAGGATTTCTTTCCTACCAGACAATCTAATACTAGAGGCGGTTCAAGAAAACTAATTATCCCCAGGTCCAGACTTAGGGTCAGGCGAAGTTTCTTTACATGTCGTGTTATTCGTGATATGGATAGGCTCATAAGAATTCGATCTTTTCCTGCGAAGCTATCTTCTTTTAAGCGCATTCTAAAAGATTATCTGCAGTCCGACAGAGTATGTTGTGACTAACATATGGGTTTTAAGCTGTTGTTTTCTTTACAACCTTCGTATATGTATTCTTTTTATTTGATGTTCTTTGTTTGTTATGTGAGACATGGGATCTCCCCATGTAATAAATAAATAAATAAATAAATACTTGTACAACCTAAGTAATGACAACAACGAAAACACAGATAAAATTACCATACTGAACAAAATTACGCTCACCGGACACAGCTTAAGTCATGCAACAATACCGAAGGATGTAAAACTGAGAAGGTAGTCAGAATATTGCGCATTACTCCTGTGCTTCATAGTCTCTTCGAACATTAAAATACTTCTCCCGGTTCTCTTCGACAAACGAGACGAAATCCGATGACATCACTTTCAGAGCTTGAAATTCACAACTAAGCAAAGATAAAATATGGTTGACACTCAGACGTACCAAGATGTTTCCGGAGTCCGCGGGTAAATTTGCGGCAAAGCAATTAAATAACCTCAAAAGATGCGGTAATCCATAAACAGAAGTGAGCCTGACGGGTACACTATCATCTGGTAACAATGTTGAACCCAAAAAAATTTTCATATGGAATCATGTCGACTACTCTCCAGCAAACACTCACCAAAATACGGACGCCTGCGTGATCCGCCATCTCCACTGAGAGTAAGCCGGAGACGTAAAAGCTCAGACTGGTACTGATCTCTCTCGGGGTGATACAGTAACAAATTCCTGTAAAGGCGAAATTATAAGTTTTAGACCTCATAGCATAGGAAGGTTGAGAATCAAAAGATAGATGTCGAAATATTCTGAAGTATTGTACTCTCACGTGATACGAGAACCAATGGAATTTTTGAAAACTTAATGCAAAGTTCGGAAAACATAAGTGATGAAAAACCCACCCGAAAATCATGTTGAAGTAATCAGTGATCATTTGACAGGATCGTATGAGTGCACTCACACGACTAGAGCTGATTTCATCTCCGTGGGAAACTGTTAATTTGTCTCCAGCCCACTCAAGCTCCATGTCGAAAGTAGAGAGAAACTACAAAAAGTTATTACCTCAGTAGCATAAATGACCCAATATTAAAATGCCTGGAATCACGCTTCGTGGAGGATCACGTCAATAGGATATACAACTGGTAGTTTAGCCAAAAGTCGTCGCTGCAAAACAGCATCCTGATCCTTCTTGAGTATCTCACGAAGGGATTTTGGCAGATTTGTATAGTGCTGCAACGAAATTCAGGGTAAGAAAAGTATTAGGTAAGAATATAATTAAGGTAACTTACAAATTCCACAGATTTGGCGTCTTCTGATAGGCTGGAAACGGTAAGTTTGGGAGCCCTGACTACACATCTTACATATTTGTTACGAAAAGACATCATGTTATAGTCGTCCTCACCCCACTAGTCGGTCGGTGGACGAATTTGAATTCGAACTGGAGCAGGCCGGCCGCGGCAGAGCGCGGCAGATCGCCCCTCAGCCAACCGCTTGCACATGAGTTTTCCTCTTATTTTCTTCGCATTTCTTTGCTATCTCTCCTATTGTGGCAATGTTCTTAATCAGATTTCAGATTTCGTCCGCTAACTCTTTGAAACAAACGCTTTCTGAGAGAATTTCAGCCCCATCGCAAAAAAATAGTTTAGAGTACACACGGACAAAAAAACTTGGCACAGTTCATCAAAACACATTTGTGTGTATGTCACTTACCGGTCGAGAGATTTCTCATCCAAAAATCTCCAATCGCATCCTTCTTCTCGGTTTACCTGGAAAAAATGTAAAACAAACGGTCACGACTGCATAAAACAGTAGTTAGCGGTACGAAGTCTAATAATCTGATTCAAAGCATTGTCGCAGTACGAAAGATAGCAAAGAAATACCAAGAAAATAAGAGGAAATCTTGGCTGAGGGGCGGCCTGCTCCAGTTCGAATTCAAATTCGACCACCGACCGACTAGTGGGGTGAGGACGACTATACACTTATCTACACGGCGAGGAGCCACAAGAGGACTGGCGGAAGCAACACTTTCTCTTGAGACAGCATCCTAGAGTATGACTCGCTATGAACGTACTTTCTCATCAGTTGAAACGTAAAGATCCAAAAAGATATATTGAAACGTAAAGATCCAAAAAGATATAAAAGTCATAATATGATCCAACATAATTACTATACACTAAAAAAAAACTTACAGCGTTCGCTTTGGAAGACTTCCGTTTCTTTACAATTTTCGCGCTCTCTAGTTCAGCCTAAAAACGTTTTTCATGCAAAACAATAGATCACCCAGTTAGAACAGAAAAACAGAATGCTTATATAAAGATTTCCATGGCTATGTACTGAAAGGCATCCAAATTATTTAGCTTGCCGCCTTTCTGCATCGTTTACGCATTAACGCAGAAAGGCGGCAAGATGAATTTGCGTGCTACCGTAACCCGATATTTTGGAAGCCGCACGATGGATGGTAGTTAGTAGAAAAAGCGCTACATCTCATTCTCTGCGGGAAAGTTTTGGATGAAAATCGTACTGTAGAGAGAAGAAGGTTGAGCGGTAGCAACGACATTAAAATCGTAGACATTTAACGACTTTAAGGGTAAGTTAATGGGGTGCGGCACCCCCCTCAAAAGCTGCGGCACCGCAGCTTTTGAGGGGGGGGGGGAGCCGCACCCCATTAACTATATCAAAAAGACATTTTTAGTAAACACTATTTATATGAATCGATAGGCTAAACCTCGTAGATCCCATAGGAATGTTTTGAGCCTGATTCGTCTTCTTAGCTCTGAGTAATATTTGGTGAAAGCACAGCCACTGAAAGCGAAGAATGGGAAAAATGAGATTTTGGTTGGCTTCTAATTCCACAGTTTGGAGGTCTTTAGAAGCGGGATTTCTGAGATGGACAAAGAAGGAGTAGTGCTTTGTCTTGAGTGCAAAAGTGGTTAGCTAATTCACTTTAGAAACAAAGTTGATTATGTTCGAAAATGACCATTTCACGTGAGTGACCCAACACTTGGAAACCTCAGAATTCGCTGAAACTTGGCCCATAGGGGTTATTTGACATGCTAAATACGAAAATGATGTTCTCATGCTTTTAGGGCTTTCTTATCATGCTTAATTTATGTACAATGGTAGGCTAAACTATCAGTGTGCTAGTGTTTGGCATAATGGGCCTATTCAAATATTATTTTAATTAGTACAGCCTCGATAACAACCCCCCCCCCTCCCTGACCCTTCAATACGACCCCCCAGGTGTGGCGTGCCGCACCCCCGCTTTACCTTGGTTATGATTGATTGGTGTACTAAATGGGACATCCCTATCAATGTTTACAAAAGCTCCGTTCTTCACATTGGACGTAATTAAGAAGTCTATTATGAGCACCGAGGGGTTGCTTTAGTCAACCAAGACATCTATGAAAGACGTGGGAGTTCTGGTAAATAGTGGACTGAGATTTGAATCAAAAATTTCTTCCATACACACACGAGCTATTTCTATTATGTACACGATATTTCGCAATACTGAGGTGACAGGCGTAAAGGTTCCATTAAAGCTTTATAAAGCAAAGCCTTAGTGATCCCTGTGCTACAGTATGCGAGCCAAGTGCGGTGCCCTCCTTGAGGAAGCACAAATGAAGTTTGGAAAGTGTTCAGAAAGTGTTCACAAGACTTGTGTTTTAATTGTTGTTTCCCTAATTCTGGTTATCCACAGTTGCTTCCTAGCTATGAAGAACGTTTGAAAAGACTCAATCTAAAGAGCCTCTCTTATCGTCGACATGTTCATGACCTTATACTCGCTTTTAGGATTTCAGGGGTGAAATCAGATTGAAGCCTTCTAAATACTGGGTGTTCAGGCCCAGCCATGGAAGGACCTCTGGTTTTACTTTATATGCAATGTATTCTAATGGTGGGCGTATACAATTTAGTTTGCTGAGCCATGATTTTTTTAATCAAGTACAAAAGTTACTCCAAAAATTACCTCGTGAATATCTAGTCTGTAATGATAGTAAATCATTCAAAAGTGAATTTAAAAAAAAGAATTTGAATGAAGTACTACAGGTTGATAAGGACTTCTAATTCAACTATTTTTGGCCATTTTGGCTTTGCTGCATTTGGCTCGTCCCCTCAGTGCAATTTGCTTTCAATTCAGCCGGTCCTGATCTTGCAACTACGACTACGCCTTCTTCTTGAATTGGCGCGTAGCTTATTTATACAGGGTGTCCCAAAAGTAAGTACACACTTTTCAATCGTTAATATCTCTCTTCCCATTGTATCTTTTTCCGCCATTCAAGTACCGTTCTGTAGAGGAGACTTTAGTTTAGATTTGTAGTATCGAGTGAATTACCGATCGCTCTTCATTACTGTAGGATTACTGTAGGAACTCCGGAGCGCTCCAGAGCGCGATGCGGCAGACTCGCGCCATTTGTCCTTCGACTGTCTGAGTCGTTATTTGTCTCATGTTACGAAAAAAGAGTCTGAGACTGTCAGTATAGCAAAAGATGATTGCCTCTTGTTGAAATGCACAAGCGGCGTGCCCGCAATGTTTTGTGTCAAGTTGGGTACCTCCTCAATTGCCATCTCGTGTAAAGTGCAAAAACATTAGTATATATTAGGTCGTTCCGAAAGTTCTTGCGCACGATTTACAAAAAATCATAATTTCTGATTTTTCCAACCGATTTGACCGTTTTTATTTTTATGTGAAAGAGCAAGTCATGCTCTTTATAAAGACATCTTAGCTGCTTACTAATGGTCATCTCTTGCATAGATAGGAGCAATAGAAGAAAATTGGTCAAAATTTGAATTTTCTGTGTAGGGTCGTATAAAATCGGAAACTTGAAACAAAAATCGGAGCAGTCGGTATTGTAGGTTCTTTCACCAGCTCTTTCTAACAGTGCAAAGTTTGCGCCGATTGAGCGTCTCAATGAAAAGTCATGATTTTCGAGCAAGCAATAGAAAAAGGCGAATTTGATTTATTTTGGCATTTTTCAGGGAAATCGTAACTTTTCATAGAAATGTTCAATCAGCACAAGCTTTGCACTGCCAGAAAGAGCTGGTCAAAGAACCTACAATACCGACTGCTCCGATTTTTGTTGCAAGTTTCCGATTTTTTATGACCCTACACAGAAAATTCAAATTTTGACCAATTTTCTTCTATTGCTCCTATCTATGCAAGAGATGACCATTAGTAAGCAGCTAAGATGTCGGTATAAAGAGCATGACTTACTCTTTTAGATAAAAATAAAAACGGTCAAATCGGTTGGAAAAATCAGAAGTTATGATTTTTTGAAAATCGTGCACAAAAACTTTCGGAACGACCTAATATTATGTAATGATGTAATGTGTCGGGACGCAGCTAGCTACAACAGCTGCTCGAGAAGGAGGTTGGCCTAAGACAGCCAACCTCTGGCAGTGACCTCCGGCCGCCAGCACTAGCCTGTGGCCTTCCCCTTCCCCCTTTTGTATATAACTATTTATAATAAATATTATAGTAAGACTCATGTAAACCCGCTACACATCAGGTAAGGGAATAGCTAACCCTTATACCTGACATGGAAGTCCCGGGAAGATTTTTTTCTTTTGAGCAGTAGTCAAAAAAAAAATTTTTTTTTCTACAAAAAATAGAATTCATCCACCCCTCCACATCCATATCGACAACAACTTCCATTCAAGTCACAGCGAACGAATGAGTGAGTGTTTCTATATTTATTTGATAACAATGATGACTAATAGTGTGCTGCGTGTGAAAAAAATATTCTTTTCATTGAAGGAAAACTAACACTTCAGAAAAAAATATTTTTTGAGTTAAAAAAAATTTTATTCACCAAATGTAGTGATGGTCTTTGATTGAATTATCTCAAAGTGACTATATCACTAAATGTACTGATGATCTTTGATTGAATTATCACAGAGATGCATCCGCTATAGTTTAACGAGCAGTCCCATTTGTCCCCAACTTTTTGAGTAATAATGCATCATTTAGCTCTATCTTACCATGGGAGAATGATTCAGCAGTTGTGTTTAGGCGCAACCGCGTATCAAGCAGCTATGCGTAAAAAAAAATAATCGTTGACAGTACGCAATTATACTAAGTATGAAAAGACAGGATAGATTTTTCAATAAGTTATACGTAGTCGTAACCGAGCCAAATTTCAGAATCTTCATGTAGAAATCAATTCAGGACAGTAAGGAAAATCACTTTTTCTTCAGTATTTTTAGTATATTCGCCTGTATGTAACACATCCGAAATTTTGCGTTGGTTTATATTTTCCTTTAGAATGTTTTCGCATGACGGTACTGTAATTCTTGGAGTATTGCAAATTGCATAGACTTTTTTTTTGATCGCAAATGCATTTTCCTTTCAATCTTGGACTTGGACTTGCTCATAATCGTAGCTACAGTACAAAATCTGCAATAAAATTCGTCAGGAAAGATAGCATGTGCCGACGTGCCACACACCTGGCTATTACACATGGCATAGAGCTCCAAATCCTTTATGCCAATCCGTTCTAGCAACTGTCTGCGCGCATTCAAAATAGCAATCAATTTGGTGACAACTGTAGAATCTAGCAACTGCTCTAGGGTCGTGACAAATATCGCTATGCGCCTGTTGAATATTCGGATGACCCTTACACACACTTGATTTACGGCGCGTCCAGCTATCTTCCGATGCCGAGAAATTGTGCATTAACAGCGACAGCCGTGATCAGCATCTCATTCATCGGTGAGCTCAATTGGATTGAGACCGTACAAGCGATAAGGGTAATTAGCAAATCCAGATTTTGGCTGAATCAAAAAAAAATTTCCTTCTAGAAACAAGCAAAATATTTTCCCATTGTACTGCAAGACAGTTTTTTTTTTATTTCTCCGACAACTCGTATTTTGGTAACTGCTAGTGAAATTTCCTTCTATATCAAAATTCTAAGCACCACTGATCCTATTAACCTTTTCAAAACTTGGAAACAGTTTTCATCGAAAAAAAATATTCTAAATCAAAAAAAAATCTCAAGCATAATTTCAAAATAATTTCATACTTTCAGTCAAAATTTTGCTAATTTTCCCAACTTTTGTCAACGATAGGTCTAGTACAGATCTATAGAGAACTTCGTAGATTAATCCTAGAAAAACTTTTATCTGTTGTGACAGAACATGATGTTAAGTAAATGGGATTGACGTATGTAAATGTTGCTTATATTCGTTAGAAGCACGACTTCAAACATTTTCGATTCGAAAGCAAGTCGCTTATTTGCTCAAAATGCGCTTT